GATGCTATGCTAAAACTTAAGGATTTAGTTAATGAATCATTTGGTATAAATATGTCTATGAGTAAAGTTAATCGCTGTCTTAGACAATTTCATTATACTCTAAGCAAGGTAGTTTTGTTTTTGAGCGAAGTTGTGATCAAATAATTGAGCAAAAACTTGATACGCTAGCAAATTCAATGATTTTAAAGAATTTTATAAAGATAAGAACCTTTTGTTTTTGGATGAAATTAGTTTCACTGTTTCAACAAAGGCAAAAAAAGACGTTCGATCATAAATATATCTGCACATGTCACTGTTTTTGCTATAATGAATAAATATGGTAAGGTATACCATAAAATTCATGATAGGGTACTTAATTGTGAAAATATTAAAATTGTCTTATTAAGTTAAAAAACACCTATTATTCACTTAAAATAAGTGATTCTGTCTCCATATTAGATAATGTAATAATACACCATAACTCGCGTGTATCAAGTATGATAAAATCTTTGAATTTAAACCTTTAATACCTTCCTGCTTACTTACCATTTCTTAATACTATAGAAAACTGTTTTTTCATATGGAAAAATTATATGATACAAATTGAGACTATTAATAAGACTCAGTTAAAAAATTTTATTGATTTAGGCTTTAATGAAATTTCACCAGATAATTTTGATGCTTTTTATAGAAAAATACTTAGATACATAAATAGATCTACCAATAGTAATATGATTTTTAATTAAAATGTAATTGTTTTATTCATAATTACTTTTCTAAAAAATTTGCATTTGATTGTAAAATCTTTACATTTGATTGCAAAGATTCACTTTTTGATCAAAACCTCTCTATAATTTAATTTTAAATTATTTTAAATTAGTTAATGTTTTATTGTATTTTTTTAAACCATCAAATCTATTACATTTTTATTGATTTTATTTTTCCTTCTTCAAATAAATCTCTTAATTTTAATCCTTTTTTCCACTTTTAAATCTCCTTTTAAATGTTCAAATAATACATCAAGTGTATTATTTAAATACAATAATGTATTTTATAAAAAATTAATGATTCAAGTTTTAAACTTATCTTTTACAAAAATTATATTATTATTTAAAAAATTTAAATTTACAAAATTTTTGAATTTATAGTTCCACGAAGTAAATTAAATTTTTATTATTAAATAAATTCATTTTTTCTTCTCTTTCTGTTATCAACATGAAAAGTCAGTAAATTAATGAGTTGTTTGTAAAAAAATTAAACTTAAAAAGTGAAAAAATTTCTAGTTTAATATTTATTTATTAAATAGCTTAAAAACTTCT